TAAACTTGAGAAACTGGTCTCCTCTGTCCCCAGACGTCTGTTGAGTGCTGTAAGAAGATGGGGGGATGCCACACAGTGGTAAAAATGGACTTGTCCCAACTTTTTTGGGATTTGTTGACGCCATGAAATTTGGAAACAACAGATTTTTCCCTTAAAATGAGAGTTTAAACTTTTGATCTGTGATTTGTGTTCTATTCTGAATAAAATATTAGATGTTGGCACATTCACATCATTGCATTCAGTTTTTATTCACAATTTGTTTAGTGTCCCAACTTTTTTGGAATCCGGTTTGTATGTAATCTGTCTTGAATGGGCCTTGCAAGTAAAATGCCGGTTAAAAATGTTCTCCTGCCATTGAGTGTGGTTCTTTTGGGTTAAACAACTTTGGTGAGAGAGATTTTCTCCAACAAACAAACAGACAGACAGACAGTCAGCCTGCTAGCCAGTCTGTCTGTCTGTCCATCTATCTAAGCCCTATCTAAAATATGTTCAAGACCAACACAAAATTAACAACATTGTTTGAAAACAAAAAAATTACAGATTTCCACTTTAATAATTATTATTTTGGTCTTTAAGACATAGCACAAACACCAACAGGCTGTTTTTAATTGGAAAGAACCTATTACTTTGTGACAAAACAAAATATATTTTGAACTTGTATATTTATTACTTTGATAAATGACATTTTTTTTAATTTTGCAAGTTAATAATTTATTACGTTCATACTCAATAATCCAGGTAAAAAAATCCAAAAACGCTAAGTCAGGTCCTCTGGATGGTTTCTTTCATTCATTCATTCATTCATTCAACCTTTATTTAGACAGATAAATCATATTGAGCCTCGAAGACTCATTTACAAGTGAGACCTGCTTAGACAGACAAAAAGTAGTGAAAATGGACACGTAGGAATTGGAGGCCAAAAAAACTCCTGTTAAACTTTTTCTTCTGGGCTGAGAAGAAAAACTCTAATATTAAAGAAAAACACCTTGCACATACAAGCACATAGTGACGTAGACATTCCGTGCGAGGGTGGGTGGGACGACAAGAGCGGTGAGCAATGTCCAAGGATGCACCCGAGGACACTGTAAGAGTTCTGATAAGGATGGAATAATCAACCAGTTCCCTCCAGTGAGATCCATAAACATTCTTGAGTGATATCGGGGAATGGCCAAGGACAACGCCTATTTATTTTCATTTACCCTTTATTTATACAGGTAGTCTCATTGAGCCACGAGAACTCATTTTTAAGAGAGACCTGTTTAGGGAGCAGATGGTGGGAATTAAGGGCCTTGCCCAGGGGCCCAGAGTGGGGCAAATGAGGGTGGAGGCAGATGTGGGTGTTTCACCTTTTCCACCCACATTTTGATGTTGACGGTACCGGGAGGTGAACCTGCGACTTTCCTATCACAAGCCTATTTTCTAACCTCTGCGCCACCACTCCCCCCCATGGGAATCCAAGAGTCCTGAAATGATGACACAATGTTTGTTCAGCTGGTTTCCTCTGGTTATTAGTTGGAAATTCCTCGATGAGGATGGGGGTTGGGGGGGGGGGTGTCTGATCACATGTTCTCCAGGCGAATTCAGATAAGATGGCCTTCAAGGCCAGCCAGGAGAGCCAAATTCAGATAAACACAGTTGTTTTGGGGACAGGCAGAACTTAATGACGTCTACCTTGAGTCTGTGTTGGTCTACTCGGGTTCCGAAATGTCTAAATTACGTGGCCACACCACTGGAACGTGCCTGAGTAAAATACCCGAGATCTGATCCATTCTGACAAAAGCATTTGAGTCTTGGTACCTGAGGCATGAACCAAGCCATCATAAGGCAAGCAGCATGATCAGGTCCAAATTTGCTGCCAACGACTTCCTTGTTTGTAGATAAACCAGCGACCAGCCAAATCCAAAAAGCAGGAACCAGTTATAAATCCAATTATAAATGCGTTGTGAAAATCCACAAATGACAGCAGAGATAAACACATCATCAAGTCTTCCAAGTTCATGAGCTATACAGCTGAGTGCGTGCCAACAGGGCAAATCGGCTCACCTAAAACCTGTCTTCTATTCAATTCAATTCAGTTTATTTATATAGCGCCAAATCAAAACAAAGTTGTCTCAGGGCACTTTAAAGGAACATTCACATAAAAGCCAATTAGTAAAGTTCTCTATCTAAGGAGGCCGGTAGACAAGTTGAATCTTGGCTTCGTTGCAGTCTCCCATCCTGAGCAAGCACAGTGGCAACAGTGGAAATGAAAAACTCCCTTTTAAAAGGAAGAAACCTCCAGCAGAACCAGGCTCAGGACAAGCGGCCATCTGCTTTGACCGGCTGGGTTGAGAGGACAAGAAGGAGAGACAGACGAACATAGAATTCTCTTCGAAGAAATGTTATCAATTGTGTTGAGGGACCAACTGATCAATTCAAGACCGTAATTATGTTTCGGAAGATATGTAAGAGAGGCTCAAAAGCAATTTCACAGACAGACAGAGCAGCGAAGCAAAGCAGAGGGGGAGAAGAGGGGAAAAAGCGTCCGACCTCAGCTAGAGCAAGTGTTTTCATTTTGTTGAAACGTTTTGTCCTTCATCCAAAGGACGAGGAGCCACAACAAACTCAGTCCCATAAGTGGCTTACTCACATAGTGGACCAACCAGTTTTATGGTGATAAGATGGCTTCTGGAGTCCGCCCTCTCCCCCACTGACTCCTCTGAGGCAGCCATAGCCGAAGAAACCATTCAGAAACCATCTTACCACCATATTATTATTATTATTGTTATTTATTAACCTTTATTTAACCGGGCAAATCACATTGAGATCACAGATCTGTTCTGCAAGGGAGGCCTGGGCCTGAAGGCAGCCTAACATGCATGCTTTTGGTCTGTGGGAAGAAACCGGAGTACCTGGAGAAAACCCACGCAGGCACGAAAAGAACATGCAAACTCAACACAGAAAGACCCCAGGTCCAACTGGGGATTGAACCCAGGACCTTCTTGCTGTGAGGGAACAGTGCTAACCACTGAGCCATCATGTTACCATAAAACTGGTTAGCCCACTATATGAGTAAGCCATTCCATCACGCCTTTTGAAACCGGTTGGTAATGGAGGATTTTTTTTTACACTGCTCTGCTTTAAGGATCCACCGGCAGACTTGAGCAAAAGTAGATCTTGGCATGCGGCCAGTTTTGGTAAACGATTTCTAGCCGCTAGTTGTCCAAGCCTGCCACCATGCTCAGAGAGCCATTTTAAATGCACAACTCATACTTATTTCGAGTAGCTGCAAATACTTTGTTATGGAAACTTTGTTTCCCCCCCTTCCTGGGGGCACAACAGGGAGGGGAGGAGTTTCCCCTCCTCCCCAGTGGTACAATGAAACCAAGTTTCATTGGTCCACTGTGACCTGATCAGTAATTTCATTGGTCAGATATTTTATTTACCTTAATTTATACAAATAATGCCATTGAGTCATGTGGATCCACCTTGGAAGAGAGATGTGTATTGGGCAACTATGTGAGCACCCGGGTGCGATAAGACTAAATGCTTTGAAGCTCGTTAGCCCATCAAAAAAAAAAAAAATATATATATATATATACTAATAATACACCCACAAATTAGCCACAGCATTGTATAAGCTGTGGTGTTCAAAGTATGTGAAAAAGTAGCGGCTTAAGCTCCCAGTATACTCCCGCGTACGTCTGTTCACGCGTACGTACGCGTGTACTGTACGCAGAGGGTTCAGACTTCGTACTCGAGCGTAAACCCCGAGCAGCTTCACAGACAAGGGGCATTTACCTTCGGGACAAATTGAGGTCGCCGATTGGTCATTTGCTGACACGCCTACTGGATTGATTGACAGGTCGGGAAAAGAAGAAAAATAAACGAGCGCTGGCAGCCTCAGCCGCAGCGGTGTTCTGTGTTTATATATTGTTAATAAAAAAATAAATAAAACATTTTTTTTTAACGGAATGCTGACTCTGCAGCCCACACATCAGACCAGCCCACCAGGAAATCTCCAGACCCTCCCGCAGCCATGCTGGACCTGAGTTTAATTTGCTCGTGACAAATTCCTTCATTTCTCACCATTTCCGTCATGGCATCAACGGTGGAGGAAGAGATCACTGCCTCTTGGCAAAAAAACAAAAGGAAAGGCCAGATCAGGGATGAAGAAGGGGAATTTAATACATTGGTGTCGCATAGAAAACATTTTGTCGCTGGGCAGTTTATTGTGCGACACGTATGCGGTTGTAAAAATTGAGCTTTGCACGGACATGCCCTGGGGGGTACGCTCATACCTCCGCGTACGTACGTGCGTACCTCTGCGTTTGGACGTACGCGGGAGTATACTGGGGGCTTTATAGTCCAGAAATTACTGTAATTTGCTTTTCAGCATAGACAGAAAAAAGGACAAAAGGTTTATGTAGCTATAGGTGAACTCTCCTAAAACCCCAACAAATTGGTTTCCATGATGCTTCTATAAGTAAACACTAATTTCACATGGCTTGGATATTTACATGTGTGTGTACGGTATGTGTTACCTTGTGGTTGAGTTGTGTAGCTCCTTGTAAAGATGCTCCAGTGTATCTTGAACAAAACTCAAACAGACCTGGAAACACTGGACTGAAACACACACACATAATGGAAAATTAGGTTTAATCAGGTTGTGAGGGCGAGTTTTATCAATTGACAGAACATAAAACATGGCAAACATGGCAGGAAAACTAAAATCAGCGCTGAAGTTGTCTGAAAATTATAAATAAAAATAAGCTTTTAAACGTTCCCTTACTGTCTGAGTAAAGGCTGATTTTAGACTTGATCAGAAGTGCCAAAATAGTTTCTCACTGACGTCGTTGCGTGACGAGAATTACATGATTTTTGTTCTAGCACCACCTCTGAGAATCCATTCTTTGCACAAGTCCCAGGCAGAACTTTTTTTCTCACAGTAGCCTTCTCTAACTTATTAAGTAGGAGGCTGGAGTCATTTCCCAACATCAACATATACATAGATGTTCTGTGCGGCAAAAAAGTTGGTGAACGCAGACTGTTTAGACACTGATGAAAAGGTGTTACCATTGTCACAGGCATGAAAAGAGTTATGAGGTTGTCGTAGAAAAAAAAAAGATTCCCTAAACAATAGACTTCATCCGATTTATTACAAAACTTTGGAAAACAGCCAGCAATCACAGAAGATCATAAAGTACACACTTATAAATGTGTTCACCTGCCTGACTTCCTGAAATGAAAACAGTTAGAAAAATTTCCGGACTATAAGCCGCTACTTTTTTCACACGCTTTGAACACCACAGTTTAGGGGCCGTTTACATGGCACGTATTTTGAGTAAATCCGCACCTTTCTCTCTGCGGTTCTGCTGTTCATTTACACAACACCAGTGCCCCCCCCCCCCCCCTTTTGAATCCGGAGGTTTCTGAACCCACCTCTCAGAGTGGAAGTTTTTGGCTGACCGCCGGCTGACAATGTAAACATCTCCCACTGAGGCTTTGTGTTGCACCTAGGGGTGGGTGATATGGCTCAAATATAATATTGTGATATTTCAGAGTATTCTGACGATAACGATAAATTTTGTGATATAACAAAAACAAAAAAAACAAAGAAATCATAGTTATTTATTTGATAAAATTAATTTAACATGTTGCATTGCAGTATTATATTAAATTAACAAAACAAGGGGTAATTTTACTGAAATAGACGATTAATTTCTGCTCTTCTTTGTTCACACAACAGACATTCTGTCTGTCGCCTTTTTGCTGCTGGTTCATCTTCCTCCTCCCCACCTGCAGCATCAGTGAGCTCCTCTCCAGGGGATTCCACCGCAGACTCTCCAACTTTTCATTCATTCAACCTTTACAGGTCCTTCTCAAAAAATTAGCATATTGTGACAAAGGTAATTATGTTCCATAATGTAATGATCAAAAAGAAACTTTCATATATTTCAGATTCATTGCACACCAACTGAAATATTTCAGGTCTTTAATTGTTTTAATACTGATGATTATGGCATACAGCTTATGAAAACCCAAATTGCCTGTCCCAAAAAATTAGCATATCATGAAAAGGTTCTCTAAACAAGCTATTAACCTAACCATCTGAATCAACGACGTAACTCTAAACACCTGCAAAAGATTCCTGAGGCTTTTAAAAACTCCCAGCCTTGTTCATTACTCAAAACCGCAATCATGGGTAAGACTGCCGACCTGACTGCTGTCCAGAAGGCCATCATTGACACCCTCAAGCAAGAGGGTAAGACACAGAAAGAAATTGCTGAACCAATAGGCTGTTCCCAGAGTGCTGTATCAAGGCACCTCAGTGGGAAGTCTGTGGGAAGGGAAAAGTGTGGCAGAAAACGCTGCACAACGAGAAGAGGTGACCGGACCCTGAGGAGGATTGTGGAGAAGGGCCGATTCCAGACCTTGGGGGACCTACGGAAGCTGTGGACTGAGTCTGGAGTAGAAACATCCAGAGCCACCGTGCACAGGCGTGTGCAGGAAATGGGCTACAGGTGCCGCATTCCCCAGGTCAAGCCACTCTTGAACAAGAGACTGCGTCAGAAGCATCTCGCCTGGGACTGCTGCTGAGTGGTCCAAAGTTATGTTCTCTGATTACAGTAAATTTTGAATTTGCTTTGGAAATCAAGGTGCCAGAGTCTGGAGGAAGACTGGGGAGAAGGAAATGCCAAAATGCCAGAAGTCCAGTGTGAAGCACCCACAGTCAGGGATGGTCTGGGGTGCCATGTCATCTGCTGGTGTTGGTCCACTGTGTTTTATCAAGGGCAGGGTCAATGTAGATAGCTATCAGGAGATTTTGGAGCACTTCATGCTTCCATCTGCTGAAAAACTTTATGGAGATGAAGATTTCATTCATCAGCACGACCTGGCACCTGCTCACAGTGCCAAAACCACTGGTAAATGGTTTACTGACCATGGTATTACTGTGCTCAATTGGCCTGCCAACTCTCCTGACCTGAACCCCATAGAGAACCTGTGGGATATTGTGAAGAGAAAGTTGAGAGACGCAAGACCCAACACTCTGGATGAGCTTAAGGCCGCTATCGAAGCATCCTGGGCCTCCATAACACCTCAGCAGTGCCACAGGCTGATTGCCTCCATGCCACGCCACATTGAAGCAGTCATTCATGCAAAAGGATTCCCGACCAAGTATTGAGTGCATAACTGAACATGAATATTTGAAGGTTGGCGTTTTTTCGTATTAAAAATGCTTGTCTTTCATTGGTGGGATGAAATATGCTAATTTTTTGGGACTGACATTTTGGGTTTTCATGAGCTGTATGCCATAATGTTCAGTATTAAAACAATTAAAGACCTGAAATATTTCAGTTGGTGTGCAATGAATCTGAAATATATGAAAGTTTCATTTTTATCATTACATTATGGAAAATAATGACCTTTATTACAATATGCTAATTTTTTGAGAAGGACCTGTATATAGAAGTGCTCACTGACTACGCACCCAAAATCAGGTGCAGATCGGATAATGTGTCACTGAGATTAAACAGTGGGAATAATGTAGGGGGCGCAGTGGAGTCAAAAGTAAAAAAAACAATACCAATGTGTCTAGAAATGCTCACAGATGACGCACCCAAAATCTGGTGCAGATAGGATGATGTATCACTGAGATATAACTGTTGGAATAATCTAGGGGGCGCACTATAGTCATCTGTTAAACCTCAATATCAATGTGTCTAGAAGTGCTCACTGATCAAGCACAATAAATCTGGTCCAGATCGGATTACGTATCACTGAGATATAACTATAGGAATAAAGCAGGTGGCACTGTGGAGGCTATTGGCCACTTATGGATTCCTGTTCAAGGGTGGATAATGATCGATCATAGTGATTTTGGTGCACCTCGGCTCAAATCTGTGCAACGGCGTCACTTCTTAATTCGTCACGCCGCCACACCCACATCCTCCAGCTAAAACTGTTTGTAATTTAAATCAAGTCAGACCAACTTATTATATGTATTCTAAAACAGGATAATCCTGATTAAGTCAAGGGTGTCAAAGAGGGAGCATTCCAAGTAAAAACAAAACTTCCTGTTCTGAGGGGGCGGGGCTTTGATGATGTCAAAATATGACCACAGTGGACTGTTGGGCATCCAACAGGGATGAGTCATGCCAAGTTTGATGCATTTTGGTCTTTCAATGTGAAAGTTATAGCGTTTGTAAATTTATGGCATGAAGCGCAATTTTGAGGCCTGGCCGGAGATCACGAACATCCAGTAGAGTTTTACGGCCTTGACCCTTATGCACAGCAATTGTTCCAGATTATCTGAATCTTTTGATGATGTTATGCACGGTTGATGATGATAACTTAAAAGTCTTTGCTATTTTACGCTGGGTAACACCATTCTGGTATTGCTGCACTATCTTTCTGCGCAACAATGGTGGAATTGGTGATCCTCTTACCATCTTGGCTTCTTGACACTTGACACATCTTGACACTCTGAGAAGCTCTTTTTATACCCAATCATGTTGTCAATTGACCTAATTAGTGTTAATTGGTCTTCCAGCTGTTTGTTATATGCGCAATTTCCTTTTTCCAGCCACTTATTGCTACTTGTCCCAACTTTTTGGGGATTTGTTGACACTGTGAAATTTGGAATCAACATATTTTTCCTTTAAAATGTTACATTTACTCAGATTAAACTTTTGATCTGCCATCTATGTAATATTACAAATAAAATATTGACATTTGCCATCTCTACATCATTGCATTAAGTTTTTATTCACAATTTGTTTAGTGTCCCAACTTTTTTGGAATCCGGTTTGTATTATTTTAAAATGATTCTCCTTCACTTTAGGAGGTTTAGGCCATTTGACAAATTTAGAATGAGCAGAAGTCATTATGGTTTTATGATTTATATTGGGAGGTTTCTTGAAGGAATCTTTGTTATAATCAGTAAATCCTTTGTTGCAAACATTCATTGATAATCTTGTTGCATTTGAAGTCGACTAAGTTACAGTGATGTAGTTTTAATGTGGGCATCAAATCATCACTTTTGAATATATAATATTTTTAATTAATTGAATCAGTTGTTGGTCAGGTTACTTCTTGTTGTGCCATTAGCTCTAAAATAATTATTGAATCAAGTGTTAACTTCCATCCATCCGCGTGGGTAGCAGCCTAAGTAGGGAGGCCCAGACTTCCCTCTCCCCAGCCACTTGGACCAACTCCTCCAGGGGAATCCCAAGGCGTTCCAAGTGCATCTACTTTATTTAAAATTTTCTGGGGGAAGACCCCCAGACCCCTCATCAGTGTGTCCCCCCCACACACACACACATTATAAATGCTTCTGACACCAGTGGCCAACACTTTACTAAGCAATTACACATATGGTGTCATGTGGTATTTAAAGTGCGTTCAACTTAATTCCGTTTTGATGATGTGTCAATGAGCATTTAAATTTTTAGACATAAAAACACTATTGATAGTTAGAATTTTAAATATATTTACTGAATATTATTGTAATTTATTCTGTATTTTGCCAGATTATGGTGATTCTGGGGTCGTGATGATGGGGCCCTTGAAGATTGTTGCCCAGAGTAAAGCGAAGTGTTAACCTGGCCCTGGTCAAGTCTGTA